GGGCGAGTGCATGGGGGGCGAGTGAATGGGGGGCGAGTGCATCTCAGCATCATCAGCGCTGGACACACCAGCTGCCTGCACCTGTTGCCGGAGGTTCGTGTGCGAGCGTGTTTTGCGAGGCTCGCTCTTGCGCCCGCCGCCCAAGCTGCCGGAGCGCGCGAGGCCCAAGCTGCGCTTCACCTTACTCTCGTGAGCACGCGCCTCTGACTCGACGGCGGCGGCGGTGACGGCGGAGGGTATGAACGGGGACGCCAGCGCCTCGGGACGGATGCGATCGTCTGAGACCATGTATGCCTGAGTGGTTGCATGGATGATTTTCGGCAACGCCACAGGAATCCCGCTCGGAACAGGGGCTTGGGCCTGCCCATCTACGCCGATGGGGACTTGCTGAAACCCAGCTGCTGCTGGCACCGCCTCCGTGGCCGCACCGCCTAAACCGTCAGCCTGTCTGGTCTGCGCCCTCCTTGCATCCTCTGATGACGAGTGCCGCGGGCTAGAGGACGGAGCGATCGCATCGGAAGAGCAGCGTGAACTACCGCTGCTTGCGCGCGCAGCTGCACTGGATGGGAACGAAGACGCCGTATGACCACTACCGCTGCGTCCGCTCGACCGAGGAGATGAGGGGCCATCGAGTGACAGACGACTGCCTCCTCCGCTTGGGACAGTCGTTCGAGAGCTACTTTCGGGCGCTACACCACCTGAGCCACCACCCGCACCTGAAGTAGTGTGCAGGCAATCCGAGCTGTACGACCCGAGAGAGATGGCACTCGCCAGGAATGCAAGCGAACGCCATCGTACGCTCGTACTACTCGAGGAGTCGATCGATGCTCGCGTCTGGTGGCGCGTGTGCGCAAGCGAGATGGGGGCCGCATGCAAGCTCGGTGAAGATGACTGCTGCTGCTGTGCCTGCTGCGATTGATGCTGTTGCTGTAGATTCTGCGCCGCTTGCTTGAAGCTGGTTTGATTCGACGGCGAGTCTGGCGTCGTACTCGATGAGTGCGACTCGCTTCGGCGCAGGGATTGTGTACGCGTTGGGGTGGTGCTTCGCACCTGCTGCTGCGACGAAGGGGGAGGCAAGGAGTCGTTTGCTGCAACTTGGGCTGCACGCTCAACCGATGCGCACAGGTCCTGTCGGGGTGTGCGTGAGAAGGCAAAGACACAGGTGAGGCGACCATCAGCGATACAACGCATGATATGCAGCTGCGCTGAGTATACTACTCACAAGCACACCAACACCACCACCAAGAACAACATTACCTGCCATGCCATCTATATTTGTCACGGCGGCCGCCGAGGCACCCTGAAGGCTTCTCGCCAGAGGGCCGTCGAGAAGTACCGCGTCAAACTGCGAGGACATGCTCAGCGAAGGCGACGAAGAACTCGACTCCCCAGGGCAAGGCGCTGGACTTGGCTCTGGCTCTGGCGACGACGAGGGCACGTCCGGCAGAGGGCTGGAAGGAGGGGCCAGCTGGCGCGGCAGCATGGATCTTGGCGGGCGCTGGCGAAGCGATGACTCGGGGGAATCGGAGGACACACTGATGGTCCCTGGTCTGCTGCTGAACGGGTTGCGCAGCGGGGGCACGGAAATGTGAGACGTGTCGCCCGGCAACGTGGCCAGTTCGCGAGCGCCACGCGATAACGAGAAATCGACGCCGTGTCGTTGTTGTTGCTGTTCAGCGCTGAAGAGCGAGCCGAATTCAGTTGCGAGCGACGAGCTGTCGCTGTGCTCCCGCGAGCCGCTCCGTCGAAGGTCCAGCTGGAGAACCGATGCCTTGAAGGAGCTTGCTGCTGCTGCACGCGGGCCGGAGCTCGAGCTCGAGCGTGATCCTGAGCCTGAGGCGCTATGCCCATGTACATTTCCATACCCAGATCGCCGATCCAACAAAGCTGTTTGTAAAGCGGAGCTGGCGGCTGACTCTGAGGATGCTGCGCCCACGGCGCTGCCGTCGCTGGTTGTAGGCAGCGGGGGCAGTGGTGGCAGATGTGCTGAGGCCATGGTGTCTGGGTGTGTCATATCTATCCTTTCCTCTCGAGTAGACACCGCCTTTCTCTCGTGCTGGCCTTGACTGAGCTACTCGCGTCCCCCTCTCCTGTCACCACTTGGCTGCTTTGCTAAGGTCACGCTCAAACACAAGCGGACTCAGTGGTGAGCCATGGCTGCTGCTTCTACTTTTTTGTAGCAAGCCCTGGTGCATAAGGGTGAACCGGGCGCGAACCGTTCACGCGAGTAGGGCTACTCGGGGCCACGAGTGGATTGTGTCGAATACGAGAGCGATGGAGGAGGCGAGACCACGAGGCTAGCCTCGGATCCGAACCCGAACCGAGATGTCTTACTTTCCTCCCAAAAGTCGTGCACTATACACTGTGCAAGGAAACAGCCTCTCGCTGACGTGGTCAGCAGCGAATCCGCTTGGGGGTGGACAGGCTATCGTTACCGCTAACCTCTATATATGTGTGCGAGTCACATAGGAGTGGCAGTGATAGCGACAAGGACGAGCATTGTACATTTACCTACGATGAAGCGCTGTGAGAGCCGAGACAACTATGATGATAATTCCCAAACAAGCCACTATCATGGGCGACGTGCTCCCTGCCTACAGGCTGCGACAAGCGGATGAAAGTTGAGGTACTTGACTAGGGTTAATCCCAAACAGCCCTAACCCTAGTTATCAAGTAATGGAACGATGTTGCGGCAAGATGGAACCCAAGTCAACCAACCCACGGTGATCCGATCACAGCCAGCAACAGCAGTCACACACTTTTCCAGCGTCGTTTAAAGCCCGAGAAGTAGCAGCATGCATGTACAGATGCATGCAAAATGGTCAATAACCTGATCACAGATCCAAGCCCACCGAAGAGCAGACGAGCGCAGGGCGATGCACGTTGGTACCACCACTTGCTGACAGGATAGAACCGTGTGAGGGCATACGCCAGCGTAGAAACCATCCGTCCAGTTTCAGTGATCTGCTCCCTTTCCGTCCGGCTCTCCCTCGCCCGTGCGCAGGACTGTTCGATATCACACTACACCATGGCTATGGCAGCCGCCGGTGGACCACCAATTGCACGGGTGCGCACACAAGGTTTCTCCGGCTACAATGTTGCCTGGAGTCCCTTTTTCGAGAATCGCTTGGCCGTCGCCGGCGCAGCCAACGTGCGTTGAAACAGCACAGGTTCCAACCCCACGCCTTCGTTCGCAACCATAGTTACCGCCCTGTTGATTCCTCACTTTGATTTTTTTGCAGTATGGCCTCGTAGGGAACGGGCGTGTACATGTCCTTTCTGCAGAGCTAGGGCCAGGGCCCAGTGCTGGTCTGACGGTGGAGAAAGGGTGAGTTAGCCTGAATGCGCACACGCATCATATCACTGCCGCCTGCTTGGAGATCTCATCTGCTCTTCATTGGGCACAGCTACGATACACAAGACGGTCTCTACGATGTAGCATGGTCCGAAGTGCACGAAAACCAGCTCGTTACTGCTAGTGGCGACGGAAGCATCAAGTTATGGGACATTGGACTCAACGTGAGCAGCACCGCTTGGCGAGAATTGGACGAGTATGTGGCCATTCTTCCCCATCACCAAACTTTCCCTTGACCCTGCTGCAGGACCACCCAATTCGAAATTGGCATGAGCACGGGCGGGAAGTATTTTGTGTAGATTGGAATAATCTCAAGAAGGAGCTCTTTGCAAGTAGCAGTTGGGATGCGAGCGTACGAATAGTGAGCATGTCCTAATCCTGGTCATCCAGAAATATGCGCTGAACGATGCGGCATAATTTTTACTCTTGCCCACGCGCTCACCTGGCGCAGTGGCACCCCGAACGTCCGACTGCGCTTGCCGCTATCACAGCGCATACAGCCTGCGTCTACGGTTGCGCCTGGTCGCCACACGACGGCGATCTGATCGCATCCGCTTCGGGTGACGGCTGCGTGCGGCTCTTCGACCTGCGCACTGGCGGCGGCGCCGCACCGGGAATCGCTGGTGGGCCCACGCCGGGGGTGCAGCACCAGCCCGTTGCGACGATCCCCGTTGGCGGCGAGGTGCTGTCTCTGGACTGGAACAAGTACCGACCCATGAGGATCGCAACAGGCAGCACCGACCGCGCGGTCAAGGTGTGGGACATGCGGTTCGTCGGCGCGGGCAAAACCCCCGGTGTCGCGGGCGGCGAAGCGATGACGAGCGCCGTGCTTCTTGGGCACGAATACGCCGTGCGCAAGGTCGCTTGGAGCCCGCACGCGGCAAACCTCGTCTGCAGCGCATCGTACGACATGACGGCGCGCATCTGGGATGTCGACGCCGCGCAGCAACAGCATAATACGGGCGCAGGGGGGATAGGGATGGATGCAGGACCCGCCCTCCGGAAAATGCACGACACGCATACTGAATTCGTCGTCGGCGCCGCGTGGGCGCTGTTCCAGGAGGGTCTTGTGGCTACGTGTGCATGGGACTGCGAGACGCATTTGTGGAGTGCGCTGGGTTGACACGCGTGATAAAATCTAAGATGGTCCACAATCGTTCGGCCAGCCAGCCAGCTTAGTGCGTTGCCACTCATACATGACTTGCATGCTCTGTTGTACCGTACGAGATCAGATCTACCACCCCAAGCGTCCGACTGAGCATCGCACGAGAATCGAGCAGCCGTCCGAGGACCCGAATATGAACCACTGTGCTCAAAGTGCAGGCCATGAGGCCGCTACTGCTGTTTCGACAGCGAGCGCCAAGCTTCAAAGTTCAAGCAGCAAAGACATCAAGGACCAAGGATCAAGAAATGAAGCTGCAAGCTAGCACAAACAATTAACGCTTAGGCCGAGATAATGATGGAACATGAGTTTGGCGTCGCGGGTTGATGACAGAAGACCTGAATCGGTGCAATATGAGAACCCAGTAGAGTAACATTAAGTAACCCTACTCTTCTAACCCTGTCGCGGTGCAATAGCAAGCCACCATATGTTGAAAACACCTGGCCACCTCTGCACCACTGTACCAGTCTCCGGATGAGCAATCAGCAATGCTTGTTCTCCATCCTCCCGGCTCCTGCAGCTCCACTTTTTGGACTCTGCCAAGCCCCTCTCGTCGACCTCAAGAAAGAAGAGAGTGACGACAGGCGCAAGCCAAAGAAGTCGAGATTGGTGGCCCGTTGAATGCATGGATGGGCCCTGTATCCTGGATTCTGACAGATCCCTGGCTGACCTCTTCATGAGTTGAAATCAATGCGGACTCACCATCGGCCGAGTGTGTGATTGCTTTCGTGCCTGCGGTCGCAATCTCCTGTGGGAGAGAGGACACACTGGTGTGCTGATGTACCTTCGAACACTTGCTAATACGTCTGCTCTCGCTCTCATTGCCGCCACTTATTTACTAGGAGACATGAGATGATCACCTTGAGCGATTTTCGGCCCGAGACTCGAGAGCCAAAGACGTCTCCTTCCTTGAGCTGTATGCATCTGCTGCACATCCTGCATGTCCGTTTATATTGGCATTGGCGGCACCCATCTCTCCTGACCTCCTGATCATCCTCCACCCTCCCATCCTCGCTTCTGCCCTGTCTGGCCTCTTCCCGTTGCCGTCAAAGAAACGACACGAGGAGCACGGCGTCACAATGAGCAGCAGCAACAGCAGTAACAACAATAACAACAACAGCGCGTTCAAACTCGCCAGTAACCTCACCCTTTACCAACCCGAGTGCCCATACGGCCTGACCGGCAATGGCTGCGAGCATGCTTCGTGCAATTCCACTTATGTCACCGCTGCCCAGCGTGTTCAGCGCTCCGATACGACCCTGTGCACCGCCTGCCCAGATGGCTGGGGCGGAAACCTCAACTGCAACATCTGTCAGCGTGCTGATGCGTGTCAGCTCCAGCAGCGAGCCACAGGGCGGGGCAGGAGCAGTAGCAGCAGCTCGAGTACCACGTCCGCTGCCACCAGCTCACTCAGTGGAGGTGGTATATCCAGCTCTTTGGCCCTGGCAGCGAATGACACCGCCGTCTGCGTGAACACGCCCCGTGCCATCTCGACGACCAATGTGCAGTGTGACATGAATCAGACAACGCTCACAGGTATCTTCCAGGGCAACTTTCAGCTCTCTGCCATTAAGACCGCCGGCGTCTCTAATGCAACGGAATTCAACACAGTCGGCCTCGCTCCGTACAACGCAGAGAATGGCACGACCACGACCCAAGTCTGGTTTAATGGCGTCCTGCAGTGGGGCTGCCAGGCGACAAATTGCTCCTCCTTCAACAGCACCGATCCTGCCGACGCACCGTCGGGCCGCAAGGGTATTGTTACGGACGTATGGAAGTGCAGCACGCTCAACTGTGTCTGCATACCCGGCAGCACCGTCTGCGGCAGCGGGCCGTTTGACCTGACCAACACCATCCAAGACCTCGACGGCGAGACGACGTTTGCGTGCGAGTATCCTTCGGACCAAGCCGCGGCAGCCAGGGCAGACATGCAGTGCCGCTTCAGCGGGCCCTCGTTCGCCACTGCGCTCGGCCCAGGAGGCCTGCCGCTGATCCATTGCCAAGCCGGCGCCTGCGTCACGCAGGACGAGCTGACCAATCTCTGGACCAATGGTGGGACCACGACCGGCGCATCGTCTGACGGCATGGGCTTAAGCGGAGGCGTTATTGCCGGGCTCAGCGTCCTCGGTGTCGTCGTCGCCACCATACTCGCGACCATCTTGGCGGGCCTGCTACTTCGTCGGCGCGCGGCAAACAGGCCTCGTGATCCTCCCACCGCCGCTGTTGGGCTCGCATGGAGCAACATACATTATTCATTCAGGCCGGCTGCTGCTGCGTCCTTGATTCCTGCCCGCGGGAAGGGCGACACACGCAAGAAAATAGCAGATAGAAATGCAGCTTCTAGCAACAGTAACGGCAACGGCTCCTCGAGAAATAGCGAGGAAAAGGAGTCTCACGAGCTGCGGATCGCCATGGCTGATGGTGGCAGGGGCAATATCGCAGAGACAGCCCATGCGGGCCACATTCTGCGCGACGTCTCCGGCGAGATCCACCCGGGGAGCATGCTTGCCATCCTCGGTCCCTCCGGCGCGGGGAAGACCAGCTTGGTCGACATTCTCGCTGGGCGATCCAAGGTCGGTACGATAAGTGGGACGCTCACCTTCACGCCCGACGTCGGCGTGGCGACAAGCAGCAATCACGCTGCAGACCGAATGGTCGCTTTCGTCGATCAAGAAGACGTCCTACCAGCCTTCTCCACCGTCCGGGAAGCGCTGCAGCTCGCCGCCCAGCTCTCTTTGCCGGAGAACGTCCCGCGGCATGAGCGGCACGAGATCGTCAACCGTGTCTTGCTCAAGCTTGGTCTCGACGGCATCGCCGAGCGCAGGATCGGAGACGCTCATCGGCGCGGCGTGTCAGGCGGCGAGAAGCGCCGCATCTCCATCGGCATTGCACTCGTCGGACAACCGAAAGTACTCATCATGGACGAGCCGCTGTCCGGTCTGGATGCTGTCAATGCGCAACGTGTCGTCCAAGCCCTCCGCGAGCTCGCCAATGGACCAGAGACTGGCACGACGGTCATCATGACTGTACATCAACCCTCATCGCAGATCTACGATGCGTTCGATCGCGTCATGCTCTTGGCTCAGGGTCGCGTCCTCTTCGATGGCGCACCGCACGACGCACCGGCTTGGCTTGAAGCGCGTGGAGAACCGCTGCCGGCGAACCACAACCCGGCGGACCATTTGCTCTCTGCCGCTTTCGGCGACATGGGCTCGGGGTCATCGGACATCGACGCCCATTCGTCACCTGGGGTTATGAATACGCTCATTAGCCCTTATCGCAACCGCAAACCCTTAGCAAGCCTGTCCACGCAAGTCGGAAGCCTCGCCTCGCGCGCCTTCCAGGCATCCTATCGCGACCCTTCGGGTGCGCTGGCACATATCCTCGGTGCCCTTATTATTGGCCTCATCACGGGCGGTGCATTTTACAAGGTTAACCTCACCATCGCGGGGTTCCAGAACCGCGTCGGGAGCATCTTTTTCCTGCTCCTTCTTCTCGCCTTCTCGGCGTTGAGTGCGATGACTGGCCTAAATCGCGCCAGACCGCTCGTGGTGCGTGAGCGAGGAAATGGGCTGTACAGCGCTTTCAGCTGGCTCCTCAGCCATCTATTGTACGACCTGGTGATGCTGCGTCTCATCCGTGAGTAACCAGGCCCTATTTCGGTCCCTTCCGAATTGCACCCGACACGTTCTGACACTTCTTCGCATGGTCTATCATGCCGAATAGCAACCATCATCCTCACCATTATCATCTACTTTATGGTCGGTCTCACGGACAGCGCCGGTGTCTTTTTCCGCTTCTTCCTCATCGCTGTCCTCTTCAACTTGGCCACAACACTCTACTTCATGTCGCTCGCCGCCTTTTTTGAGGATATGTCCATCCCGACGCTGCTTGCCGGTCTCGCGATCCTGTTCCAGCTCGGCTTTGGCGGATTCTTGCTGAACCTCAAGTGAGTCGTAGCAAGTGCCAAAAAGGCACGAAAGGGCACAAGGGAAGGGATAGTGACTGGTCTGACCCATTGCAACACCTGGAATCCTCTTCTGCAGCTCTGTCCCAGGCGTCCTGCGTTGGATCAAGTGGATCTGTCCGCTTCGGTACGCGCTCGAAGCGATGGCGACCATCCAGCTGCCTGGCCTACGCATTATCGACATAGTCAATGGTGTTCCCATCAACGCGCCTGTCTCTGTCATCGCCCCCAATCTCTTCGGCTTTGCGGTCGAATCGTACTACAGGGACCTTCTTGTCCTCGCGCTCGCCTTCACCCTGGGCTTCTTCCTACTTCTCGTCGGCGCAGTCACTTGGCGCATGCGCGAAGTCCGCTGAACGATGGGAAGCATTGGCGCATCGTCCCTTGACCTCGCTGCAACGCATCCTAGGTTATATTGTATGTCACGGTTTCAAGTTTTGAGGGCTGTAGGGATGGGCAAACAAAGTTGGCATTGTGGCAAAACAGCCTTTGGTTGTGATCATCTTGGCACTGGCAAATGAATGGTTCGAACAAGGGCCAAATCCAACCCTCTTGAAGAGAACACTTAGGACAGGACAGGGATGGAGGCAACTGTGGAAGGAACCAACGTTGGGATGCCTCTGATAATGAGGGGAAAGCAGCACAGTGGCACGTCGGAGCGCTGGACTCGCCATGTAGCAAGCGAAGCTCCAATACTCTCAGGGTCTGTGCAACCGCAAGTCTGCTGAACGGGTCTCGCACCTGCTGAAATGAAGAAGAGTTCGCCTTCTTCGATATGCAGCTTCAAGGTGACACTAGAGACCCGTGCCCTTGCGATGGATACATATGGCGAGGATCGCAGGCGTCGCATGGAATACCAATGTGAAAATTTGACCGGTTTCACCGTCAGAACCGCGGAGTTGAGTGTGATCGCAATATGTGAGCGATGGCAGCGCCCAAACCTATGACAGAAGGATCGATGAAGCCATGAAGCATGAAGAATGGAGGAACACTGAATCCTTTTATTCGTACATCGACTGCATCGTATTGTTCGAATGACTCCTTGTCAATATTGTTCTCATTTTTGGCCGAGTTGCAGCATTGTCGTCATTGCCTCCGCCCAGTGGAGCTTCGAATGCTGACGGATATCCAGTCCCTGCGCTCGAATTAGCCTTAGACGGCGTCACGCCGAGTAGTGCTCAAAACTAAGCCTATACAATACCCCATGAAAAGCGACCCGAAGTAGAATATCTTGCCCGTCGAAGACAGCTATTCGGCGCATGCCACCACCGAAGGAGGCAAAGAAACTCACCTCGTTCCTCCTTGCACTGACTTACATCCGTCGGAACAGGCCAGCTCCCGCGCCGCCAATGGCCCAGCCTTTTTGATTCATCACACAGATTAAGTGACCCAGTGCATAACAGTAGAGGCCGGGAACAGCGGGCGTTTGTAAGATGTGTACGGTCCTATTGTGTGTCGGGAAAGCCTCCAGCATCTCAGAAGCGATTGGCTTCCGTTTGAAGTGTCTTCGTTTGCTGCAAATACGATTCTCCTCGCATGTTGAAGATGCAATTGGTTATTTTGGACAGATGGCCAATGTGCGCGTTTTCTTGGGTAAGGAGCTCCCGGTAGGCCTCAACGGGAGAAAGATATGTGGCTGAAGATCCCATTGCATTTCATTCTGTCCTCGCTGCTAGCCCGTCGTAGCGTTGGGTACAGAGCGAGTGGTATATTGAAAAATATGCTTGTGAAGGTCCTCCAACATTCACATGAGAATGCGTAAGAGAAAATTTGGCAAGCGGATTAGTAACCATTGCCGCGAAAGCAGTTTGGAGATCTAGCCTGACGAAACAGACGAGCCATGTAGCGTTCGACGCCCACATACTACGAGGGCAATGGGAAGACTGCAGGCACAGTTGAGGTTCGAGACAAAGTCAGAGCGGAATACGAGAGGGCTGGGGACATGAGGCGCATGTTTGGAGGCTCCGCGCGAGACGCCCACATGCTACCGCCCATCGCGCTCAAGGCGCAGCTGGCCTGCATGGAGCGGGATGTAGGAGTACATACCCCGCACCCAGTCGCCACCAGCTGACCCAAGCATCGAGGGAGCACTAGACTTGCGCAGTCTGCGCATTTTACTCGGCATCACCGCACACGACGTGATGCCAGTTTTCCCATCCGTCCAGCTGGTCAGCAAGCTCCTGGAGGCGCTCTGCTCCGAAGACGAAGAAGAGGTTCCCTCACCCAGCATGGAACAAAATTCCCGCACGCCAACGATAGAACATGGGGGGTAAATCTCTGTAGAAGCCTTTCTGCCTACACTAATTATGGGGCAGACTGCAACACGAAAGGCATGCGAAATATATGAAGGCCAGAAGGAATTCCATTTATGCTCTTCTTCCCTGCTCGATAAACTCTACCTCACTAACTGTGACAGCATATCTGCGTCCATACTTCGACTTTCCGACCGTAGACGGGCCTATCAGATCAACATGAAGGTTTCTTTCGCTTGCTCCGTCTTTTCTTTCATTCTCCTCCTTGGCTCTGCTTTTGGTCTGGAGCGGTACGACCTTGCCGTCGAGGAGCATAGGATACAAGCGAATCAATTGCTGACGGGCGTCCTCACTGGGGATATCAATACCCTCGTGGTCAACTACACGATGCCCAACATGCGAGGGAATGTCACAAGGACGTATAGAAGAGCTAATCTTCCCTGAAGTCTTTGATGGTCTTTGATGGTTTTCCAAGCATACGCAACACAAGGAAACCTGCCACTCTACGCCTGCTCAACGGCACTATCGCTCTGCTTCTCTGGGCAAGCGCGGAGCCCTGTGATCCCAATATTCGGCCAACCGCCCCTCCACCATATACGGCACCGGTCAAGGCATCGATTGTGGTGCGCCCCACCCTCTCGATTGCAGTGGGCTGCTCGAAAGAGAAACGCAGCTGGTTGAGAGCGAGACAGCGGCTTCCAATGAGCCATTGACTCTCGCAGCCGGGGAGGACGTCGACATCAGCGAAGGTGGCTGTGTGATGACCATATTCAACCGCTCTGGTAGCGACGGTAAACTTTGTTAAGCGGCTCGATTGGGTCGCTTTCCTAGCTATCTCGATTGGCCAGTGTTTACACTCGATCACGGTCTACGGATGTATCATGATCAACGCAGCTGCTACGATCTACTTCACCCTCGTCAGCCGTGCAACAGCCGACGATCATGATGGAGACAATAGCTGCTACGATCGCTGCATCATTGACGTCAAGGAGAGCGACCAGTACCATCCGTCGAGGCCTTGGGCCCCGAATAACCAGCATCGTCAATACTGACATCTAGAGCTACTGACGGTCCAGGACGGAGAAGCATCAATTGCGGCATTCCAAAGAAGTCTCATTGTGGTCTCGTCATGGAAGATGTGCTGGGATCAATCGGCTCTTACTACCGTCAGCCGGAGTATGAGCAGGTCGACATTCCACCACTGCAGACAGCCGGAACGTGGCATTCGTCGGGGCGCAATTACGAGTGCGGGACACACATCACTAATGCAAACCCCAATGCAGCGCTCGGCGTCAACTATTTCGATTTGATGGTGGATGTTTCAGAAATTCTCGCCAGCGCGACGTACATCACTACTACCAGCATGAACGGGGGTCAGGGGTATAGCGGTCACACTCCCGAGGTCCGCGGCTGCTGAGCGTACGGGATCATTGGGACACCAACAAAGCTCAAACACAACTCCTTCATCGATGCGTGCACTCTCATGACCGCTTGATTTCGATGAATTGCCCATAGCATGCCAAGGGACGAAATAGATCGATGGCTGGATCTCCCACCATAAGGAAGCAAACCCCTCAAGCACTCGTTTCACCCATGTTCTGGCTTCAACGCCGACAGATAAATTACAACTCTATATGACATTCTGAACTTCAATGATTCAGTGTCCAATCGTGCTTGCTCCCTGTCCCTGAACACTGTGCGTGGCACTATCAGCTAAATATTATCATCCTACCGTCGCCCCTCCGTTGATCTACACTTTAGCAAGAGAAGCGATCGATGGCCATGTGGGTGGCTGAGGTCCTTGCTTGCGAAACCATATCCCGCAGCCGACATACATACGATCGACGTGCCGAGGTGAACGTGTCACGTTCTACGCGACTGCGTGTACTGGCATACGGCAGAGATGTGCAGGGTAGGATCAAAAGGGGGTTGTACCCAAATTTAGCCATTTGCATCTATCGACGCCAATACGGTGCCCCAAAACCCATTTCTTATTATTTTAAGGAGGTGAGGAGGGGTTTTCTTGCTCACTAAAAACAATTAATCAAAAAGTGGTTGTGTGTTCCGCCCGTACAGGCCTCTCCGCTTCGAAAAATTTATGACTTGTGATCAATCAAGCGTCATGAAATACGAGCTGAAGGTGCTCATCATCTAGGACGCATTTATCCAGCATAACACATCGTTGTGGCTAGTAAGTACTCAGTGCGACCAAGCCGTTTTATTAGCGCAATCCCTAAGAAAAGCAGGGCTTGGCTTTCAGCTTTTTTCACTTTGTAGCGCGGCTTATAGGCTTTGCCGAAGAGCGCGACCTTTTGTCCTCGGAAACGGCACCTTGCACTATGGGCTTAAACGGGACATCGAAGAAGGGCAAGGCGAAAGCCGTCACCCCAGCAGCACCAGTCTTGGCGACTCTACAACCTTCGAAGTCTAAAAAGATATCCTCTAGCAAGGCCGCCAACAGCACCGCTAGAGGGAATGCGCAGGATGATGAAAGCGACGACGATGACTACCAGACCACAAGTGATGAGGACAACGAGGACTCAGAAGACGGGGAAGATGATGAAGAAAAGGCACCCCGTGACGTCAGCAAAAAAGGGCTAAAGCGACTGTTGGCCGCTCTGGAGAGGGAAGGGCTGGACGAATTTGATGCTGCAATGCTGCAGGCTGCTGGCGGCCAGAAGAAAGATCATGTTGAGAAACATGATGAAGAAGATAAGGACGACGCAGAGATGGACGAAAGTGATCAAGAAGAGCTGCCCATATTGGCAGCCAAAGGAGATTCTCTCGCTGCCAGCATCCTTCGAAGCGGTTTGATACCTCAGCAAGATGACGACGAGGACGAGGTTCAGGACGAAGAATTCGATGATTGCGAAGACGAATGGGAGCAAGATGGGGAAGACGTACTTCTGGAAGATCTTGGTGATACCGACCAGCTACCGGAGGCTCTCCTTGCCACGAAGCGAAATCGTGTCCGCACCAACAATAAGGAGGCTCTGCAACGCGTGCTTGCAGAGTTCCGTCTCAGTGGAGAGGACAAGGACAAGCTGCCATGGGTGGAGACGATGGACATTACTTGGGATCAGGACGTACGCGAACAGGTTGGAGAAAATGTGGAGGACGACCTCAAGCGCGAAGTGGTATTGTGAGTCCCAGCTCCTGTTAGGCAGACGTCTCCATTCGAGGGCTCACACGATTCTACTCTACTTGTCCGCAGCTACAAACAATCACTGTATGCCGCTGTCGAGGCCCGCAAACGAGCGACAGCAGCAGGCATGCCTTTTACCCGCCCGGCCGACTTTTTCGCCGAGATGGTTAAGACGGACGAGCACATGGAGAGAGTCAGGCAGAAGCTTCTCGACGAGCGTGCCGGGATCAAGGCTAGTGAAGAGGCTAAGAAGCAACGCGAGCTCAAGAAATTCGGCAAGAAGGTGCAGGTCGAAAAGTTACTTGAGCGTCAAAAGCGAAAGAAGGAGCTGGCTGATAAGGTCAAAGGCCTCAGACAACGTGAGCGATTGAGTGGCAACTAACGCCCACGCATATCCTGACACTTTCCATTTCGATCACTCCGTTCACTACAGGGCATGGCGGGGGAGGAGATGATAATGACGGCTTCGATATTCAATTGGAGGATACGCTTGGCGAGTCTACTTCGGCCAAATCGCCTAAGGACCGTCGAAAACTTGGAAAAGGCAAAGACGGGAGAGCGAAGATGCCGCGAACTGCGCGTGATGCAAAGTATGGATTCGGAGGCAAGAAGAGGTACTCCAAGGAGAATACGGCGGCAAGCACGAACGACTTTGACGGTGGCCCCGCAAAGAAGCGGCGCATCTCTGGAACAGCTGGATTCCGCAAACCTGCAGCCAAAAAGTCTAGACCGGGCAAGTCTAAGCGCGCCGGAGGCGCAAGGCGCTGATCCTGTAGCATAGATTCACATTCATTCATCACTAGGATCTGATTTTGATGGTATTGTATAGGCATGCTCTCGTAAGGCAGTGTCCGCAATGCTACATATGATGAGAAGCCTCTTGTATTTGACTTTTTGTAGCCCTTGCATAGGGCTGCTTGCAACGGGTTCGTTATTGCGGCGATCAAGAGTAAAGGAAGAAATGGAACGATGCACAAGTCCGCATCAAGCATCATACACAACACGGGCTCCAGCGAACACGTAAGGATATTTTGCCTGTTCTCAATGATGTGTCAGATCGCGGCACTTTGATATCTTGAGTCGGTGTTGAAGCTCACCTGATACCAATTGACAAAGCTCCTGCGGCCAGCAATGCTTGGCACGGTGGCCCAGCTTCCACCAAGCAAGATCCAGTGAGTTCCATCAAAAAAGTCCTGTGGAGAGCATGGCACCAAATGTGATCGGCGATGCAAGGCAAGATGTGAATGATTTTACGAAGTGATGCACTCACACTCGAGTAGCCTGGATAGAGCTTGGATGGCTTGTAACCCTCAAAAGACTCGAGGGGAGTGCTTGTCCATTCAAGGACGCCGCCATTGTGGCCCGAAAGGATGGTGCCATCCTTGTCTTTCTTGGCCAGCTGCGCTGGAACAGGATGCCAATTGCGGAAACCGATATTAGTGCCTGGGCGATCGGTGCAGTTCGGCCCATGCGTAGCGTCGAGGAAGCGGCGCAGCTCGGCATGAGTTGGTAATCGACCTCCTTTCCAGTTGGCGTACGCCTCGAGCTCCACGCCCGATGCCTGGACAGGCCAAAGGCGAGCTGCTTTCATGCTCACGGGGCCATACACCGTGCGGACATAGTGCTTGTCGCCGATTAGAGCCCACGAAGCCGGCGCGTCTTTGCGCCCCGTGGCGGCCATAAACTTGGCATACTGTTCATTATTGATAGGCGCAACTGTCACAGAAAATGCTGGCACGTGAACTTTGCGAGGAGGCGACTCAATGTCCCAGCCGAATTCAGGGTTGCCCATCTGCTTGTTGAGACTATTGACATCCGAACTTGGACTGAGAACCTTGTATTCTTCGTCGTGGGCCTCGTCGTCAAGGTGACCAAGTGTTACCGTGGCTAACTTGAACTTGAATGTGGCATTGCGAGCATCTTCGCCACCTTGCACTGCATCCGCTGCTTCCCAATCCCTCGCAAGCGTGGCCCAATCGGGGGTATTGAAGCCCGCTGGCGGCAGCGTCCATGAAGTTTGGTTAAGCATGTAGAGAAGCGTCTCCATATGCATGGCAATGTGCTCATAGACCATCCATATCATGCGCGCGAAGCGGCGGTTCATCGTGCGCAGTCCATTGGCGACATCCTGGTATAGACATTCGAGTCGAGCAAGGACGCTTTGCTTGTACGCCACAATTTCTTCCACTCGCGGCCAGTCCTCCGGGCGTTCGGGCACCTTGCTGTGGGAGTGAGTGCATTCGCCTGTTTCCATCGAGGGGTCGATTCCGCGTTCAAAGATCTCCGAGAAGTGATCATTGAGATGAGGCTCGTCGAAAAAGCGGGCGATATTGATGTCAATGAAGCCAGGCTGTGCAAGGAACAGAAACAAGGTCAGGACCCGGTTTACGCGCGAGCACTTGAAACGCACCACATGACCCAGGTAGAAAAGACACATGTGACGAAGGTCGATGGGACGCTGGAGAAGCAACTCTTTTGGTATCATGGTGAGGGTGACAGTGTCCCAGGCTTTCCACATCGTGTTCCAGGACTCAAGACTAGGGACACCCCAGTCCATAAAAACCTTGGGACCAGCGACGCCGTTGGATCCCGTCTTTCCGTCCGAGTCGTACTCGTGACTTCCCCGGTAATCAATGGCCTCCGACTCGGTCAAGCCGGCGTTAACATCATGACGCATGCCGGTGAACAGGGTGCTGGAAGGGAAGTGGAAGCCAGGGTTCTCCACAAGCCAAAGGTCGTAGCGATCTGTGGCATCTGTCCACTTTTGCATGACACGCAAGCCAGCTGCATCAAAGATATCTAGTGCCTCACTCTCACTGTACTTGTGACTGCGTTCGACGTGTATGAGTTCGCCTTCCTCGAGTTCGACTGTCTGCGCTGAACCGACTGATCCATCAAGAGCGGGCAAAGTGATTGTCTGCGCAGCCTTCGACCGATAATAGCTTTCATGGCGGCCTTCAATGTCGTTGTACCTATCGTGATACTCGAACATGGAGGAGTTGAATGCATTGGTGCCCAGAATACGGTTCGCATGTTCGAGACCATTCATGATGAAGCGCGTCGTCCAGCCATGGCTATCGTTGTAAGCTTTTGCTACTTCGACAGGGTCATTGCGCCTGTCTATGGCGATGAGCATTGTATCTCTGGGACGCATGGCGGACCGACGAGCCTGCGCAAGAAATTCGGCCGCGCCTCTGCGGTCAAAGTTGCCGATCGAACTACCTAGCCAGAGTAAGGCACGTCGGCCTTCGGTGGAGCCATCTTTGGGAGCAAGTCCACCCTTGCCAATAAAGTCGAGGCCTTGGTCGTAAGTGGCCCATAAGCCATGGAGTCCGACTGCGCCGTCACAGACTGTAGGTTCGAATGCCTCCGATTCTTTGCCTTCTTGTGCCTTGAGATCGCCCAAGGTGCGCTCGAGCTCCGATTTGTCCAAGTCCAAGGCATGATACACGACCCCGGGCCGAATGTTGTTATGGTTTGTGTTACGTGTTGGAAGGTCTGCGAGTGCGCGAATGACGTGCACGCTCTTGCGAAGGGACCCGGCTCCCAGCTCTACCATGTTCATGACAGGCGAACTGGGAGCCTGGCTGGGGCAATGGTTGCCATTGGCAAATGACTCGTTCGTCGAGGTGACGCCACCGAGGTCGTCAAAACCTTCCTCTCCATTGACTCCCCCATTAAAGCGACCCACCCTATCATCACCCCATTTTTCTTTATCTGCGGCGATGCCTGGGTTAGGTTCAAGCGGGATGCGCTGCTTACGTTCCTGCTTTCGTTCCTGCTTTCGTTCCTGCTTTCGTTCCTCCTCGGCGCCGCCATTGCTGCAGCCGTTACTCAACGGGGTGCCAACTGGACCAAACCCTTTTTCGAAAGCGACGACGGTTCTGCCAGACTCGTGTGCAACTGCATCCTTCATGAACCCCTTGAAGCGATGAGTGTCTTTGGTCTCGAAGCCGAAACAGCGTCTGGCAATTTCGGGACCGTGTTGTTTCAAAATGCTGAGCTCTGCATTGAAGAGGTACTGCATTGAAGTATTGCAAAAGCTATAGCTTTTAGTGGATAGTATTCGCAGGTGAGCTCCGTCAGCAGCTCCACTCACGTATTCATCTACCTTGGTAAGCTCATCGTAGATCTTGAGTCCAGTCTCGTCGTAGAGAATGGTGACAGGCAGGGTCTTGGAGTACTTGAAGGCGATGTCCTCTGTAAAATTAAAACAAAGCTCGCATTAGAATCCTAGATCAGAATTGGTCTCGTCATGCACATACCAGGCGAGTTGACATCGCCGGGAACGATGCAATTTTTGTTGCCGCTGAGTCCTTGTATGATCTGCTTCTTTAGGGCGAGTCCTGCGTTCTCCGAGTCGAGAGAGCCAGAGTAGAGGTCGGTGATAGGGAGCTTGGCTGTAAGCGAGAAAGCCTTCGTGAGGGTACTTGCAGCCGGAGAGGAAGTCTTTCCATTTATCTTGAGGTGCTGCGTATCGAATTGTTGCGAGACCGCTTTACCCGCGCTGAGCAACGACGCTGTTTGGGCCATGGCGACGTTTGTGAGATGTTTCAATGCTGCCTCCCGGATGGCCTCGGCTCAGGAGAGGGGGCATGCGATATGTGATAGATGGGCAACGGGAAGAGCCTCGGGGTGTCTGTGGCTTCAGCACCCCAGGGACAGGTGCGGATGTATGCCTTTCTTGTATAGGCCCTAGTCGTCGCCAGGAAGAAGGATGAGGCGCAACGACACCGGATTTTATACGGATCGTCTGGGGAAGCTTCTCCGGTGTGAGGAAGATAAAACAAGGTATATACTATATCAAAACAACTTCGATGGTATGGATATGGGGGGGGAGGGGGGGACATGCATGTGGCAAGAGAGAGATTAAACAAGCACTTGCAGTCAGTTGTGCCACTTCGATGATATTTGCAAACATTTGCACAGTCAAGGCAAAGTTGTCACGAGGTGAGTTGGACCCTGGCCGCCTGAGCCCACCTCTCAGGCGATACCGCAGGTGCACAACAAACATCGCCCCCAAACGTGTCAAGAGTCAATCACCCAGTGGTACCCCTAGACATACCCACACTGCAGATTCGACGAATCCATACGATATCCACATCTGTTGCAGTACTTGCTGCCAACCTTCGGGAAAAACGGGTCAACGAGAAAGCCGCTTTGCAGCTGACTGCAGCACGTGATGCAAGTGCACTTTGAACGCTCAGGTCAACAACCCACACACGCATGCGAGACCAGTGCGGCAGTTCTAGTTCCCTCGCTTTACTTTCCGGTGATTTTACTCATGTGGTCTAGCTGTTTGGGAGCGTTTTCCCATCAGCAAGGTGCAGTGCTGGATGATCAAATGCAAGGCAGTATCCCAGTGTCCTCGGTTGCGGGGAATCTGAGGGAGGGGCGCAATTACATTTTACCCCACGTCGAAAAGTTGAGATTTGAGAGAGCTTCGTTTGCGGCGTGCATCATCACAGCTTCTGTAACCTGTTGCTTGCACGACATATTATTGCAATCAACATTACCATCACCAGAAGTTCCCCTCCAACATGAGCTTCTCTCTTCACCAACATTACCGTCATCTTTCGCATTTTCTGCTGCGAGCAGCATCATCTTGATACCCCCATCTCTTTCTGCGCTCTTTTATTTTTATCTCGCAGCTGTCGTGTACGTTGCCCTATTCCCCTCCTCTCGGGTTTGCGTCGTCCGGCCTCTTGTGCCCTCGCACCAACATCACGATGCAAGCACATCTCGCACTCCTCATCGCCTTCCTCTCCTTCTTCAGGCAGGCATGTGCTCAAACGACTCTAAGCAACGGGCCCACATATGCATCCGGCGCGGTACGTATCTTGGTAGCGTGCACGGTGCCCACTTCAACGAAACCTGACCATATTGCTCTTCCTGTCACATGGCCCTCCCAGTACCCCTTTCCACAACCCTCGCAGCCAGGCCAAGTCACTCCAGGAGGCGATGGAACCTCTTTCAACAATGTGATCAGCATTTCAGGTGAGCTCGAGGACCGAAAATCGACAGGTCGCATGCACCAAGCTAGCATATATGAATTTACCTTTATTTCCTTCCATCAGGAACATCGAGCTATATGTTTCAGTCCCTCTCTCAGACATCTACCTTTACCCCAGCCTCACCAATTTTCGGAAGCTACAACCCAGTGGCAACCTACAATCCAAATGCGACAGCGACGACGATTCCTACGAACCCGCCAGTCTCCTCAGGCTCCTCATCTGGTTCTTCATCCAGTGGTGGTTCCAGCTCCAGCAAAAATGCTGCCTCCTCGTTCTTGAATGCACGCGATATGGTCCTCGTTGGCGCTTTCTCGATTGCAACTTTGATCGGCGCATCATTGATCCTTGCGTAGGTTTTCGGCTGGCCGAGCTTCCCTTGGCCTCGCGTCGGGTTCGTGTCATCCTCATACACACGGGACGCAACAGTTGGAACAGGACTTAGGCTACAAAGACACGTCCATGCTACAAGGGGAGTTGCTCAATCAAATGATTCGGCAATGACTCCTATCCAACTTTGTGCTACTCCAGCAATGGCTACACCTCTCTCCACAAGCCAACAAGCCGCGTCGGGGATGGGGACACTTCCGTCAAAGCCGTGGAGGACAAATGCCGAAGAAAGAGCTCCACGCAGGGTACGTAGTGGAGCGCACAACAAGCTTGTCGACCATCCTTGACTCAGTGAAGAGCCCTGACGTTGAGCGACATCATATGGGGGATGCAGGAGATTGCCGTTGTAAACCACCTGTAGAGACACAGCTGCTGCGAGACGTGAAGGCACGATTCGCCTAGCCTTGTCCAAGACCCCGCCAGGCGAACGCTGTGGCAGCCCCATGCTGCTGCGCGCCAGCGCCGTTACTTCAGAGGAGCGCCGACTGTATGGCCTCATCATTGCAGCCCTCTTTTTCCGTAGTGACTCTGTAGATTCACCTTCTGCACTCTTCATAGTATAGTTGCTACTTTCCAGCTGCTCCATGACCCTCTTTCTGTGTGGGTGCTGTGGCTGAGCCACTGCATTTGTATGGTGGGGATCCATGCGTCTTTGACGAAGCCCAAGTTGTGGTAGAGCTGTGTGCAGAACCTCGGGCTGCTGCCGAGTCTCTTTTGGAGTTTCAGGTGTACTGGTGCGTCCGGCAAACTTGATGCTTGGCTTCGATGTGTCTTGCCCTGCAATTCCAGCACTTCTGAGCAATTCCTGCTCAAGTAATGCGTCATCTCTGCGAGCTGCAGCGGCTACTTGGTGGGGCGGTTGAAGTCCAAGTGCCCCACTTTGGCCATGTCGCTCGCGGTTTGCTCCACGAGGATTCTCGTCCTGATTCTGGACCTTCTTCATCGATTTATCTTTTGGGGTGCCTCGCGACTGCCCTTTATACTCCACGCTGCGCTTCATCAGAGACAGAAGGGCCAAGTGTGCATCATCAGGCATGGCTGGCGCTGCCTTCTGCAACTTTGCATCGGCATGAGCTGATGTATTGGCGATTGTGACCTGCACTCTGGCGCGTCCAGGTTCCAGGCTCACGATGTTACGAACAGGCACTTCGGCAAGCTTTCCGGCTGGCGATCCCGTTTCTGAAGTGCCATTGGGCTGGGGCGTTTCTGCCAATGCCGAAGCAGGCCGTGTGCATCTTGGAATCGCGGTCGACCATTCTTTCGATAAAGGCTCGATGGGTGTTGACTGGACGGTAGGAGTGGAATGCGATGAGGCAGATGCCAGGATCAAGGATGGTGGACGGTTGCTGCCCCTTGTATGACGTTGTGTTCGGAGACTGTGATCCCCAGGCAAGCTATCGCTAGACGCTATAGAAGAAATGTCTGAGCGTGCATCGGACTGCTTGCGTTCGCGGAACTTTGAGAGGGTAGACTGTGCTAGTCCTTCTCGGGCCGCAGGAGATGTAACATGCGCCTCCAGGGTTTCGTTGATGTGAGGGCTAGACAAACACGTCTGAGCAGCTGTTGCCCTCGCTGGCGATAGCGGAGGAAAATGCAACGGCGCAGCTCCTTGCTTCTTTAATGGCTTTTCGCCTTGCCCTGTAGACCTTGGACCCAATCCCGAGCTCGAAGCCGAGTTTGAAGGCAGTAAGCGTGACATTTTGAAATCAAAGCCTCATATGGCCATGACGTTCAATCGATAAGCATTTTCAGAGGCCTTCTGGAAGTAAAGCCTAAGCGATGACCACAGTTCCCCAAAGGGGGTCGACAGCGCTTAGCACCTTTTTTCTTGTCGTGCAAGAGAACGACTAGGAAGTATGCAGTTCGACCCGAGAGAGTAAGCAGACAGCGGGCCACGACGGGGTGCTGCATCAAGTCACTAATTTCGATAATAGTGAGGTAAGGATAGGATGGCTGCACACACTAATAACTATCATATAATGTAAATCTCATAGGATCATTCCTTTTTCCATCTCTGTCAGGTTATCAACATAATCTAATCAATTACAGTGATCATCGGAGGAAAATGATTTGCGAGTCTTCTTGAGTACGCGGATTCTGATTTCTTGTTGTTCAAAAGTGTCGTGAAAGTTTGGCGTCGTAAAGGAACACAGGTAAGGCACATATGCAGATAGATGTACGTGTTGCGTGGTGCAAATCATCACGGTCACCACAACATATAGAGAACGCCAATTACGTGGCTGTAATGGCGATTTGCATTTTGTTCACTACTTCATTTCACTGCTGCAACCGTTCCATCGCAGGGTCAAAGAAGTCCAGTCTTTACTTGCTGCTCAGGGTGCAAGCTCGGCGCGACGTTTCTGGCATTCGGGTTCAGAGGCGCCAACTCATCCATCTGCAGTAGGGCTGTAAGCTTGCTTGTGACCCGTGACACGTGTGTTGGACCTGCTGCGATAAATTCAGTATGCAGACGAGCCGCCGTTTCGCGTTTAACACCATTGGCAGCCACCTTGGCCGCGGTCCAATGCTGAGGTCTACCCGCATATCCATTGGAGCGCGATCGCAAATTAAAGCTCGCCGAGGCGATGCTCTTCGCAACGCAAACCTTGCGAACAGGAGCTTTTCATCAAGCGCCTGTTTTCGCCAAGAAAAAGCCCATTCGCAGCATGAGGGTGAAGAGTCTCAGTCATCACAATCCAGCAAAGGAAGCCTGTCGTCCTTCTTCAAGTGTGTTATTACTTTGGGAGGTACTGTGGCTGTTCCCAATCACCTTGATGGTTCTGACGAGGTTCCGTCTCCCTTTGCGATTCACATCATATCAGTTCGACGGGATTTGAGACTGCCATGGGTGCTTCTATAGGAGTTCTACTATTGGGAGCCGCTGCGATGCTCTACCAGTCATGGTACAAATCCCATGTCCTCAAGGTATGCCTTTCGGCTTACGCGTGCCCAATGGTTAATGAAGGAAGGCTAAAACATCCTCACATCTGTGTGCACTTACAGAAAATGGACTCTGCTTTTCAGAAAGGCTATGACCCCATCTTAAATCTCACAAACAGCGGTAGCGACCCATCTGGCATCCAAATAGAGCCACCTAGACCCGAGCAGCAGGTGGTCGAATCCATTGTGCGAGGAAAGGAGGCAGGGCGCTACTTCTTGGTCCTCGGGAGCAAGGTGAGCACCAACAGGAAGGACTCGAGTGCGCAATAAAATCGTCGCTCAAAGGCTCTTCTCCGGTCAGGGTTCCGGAAAGTCTTCGATGTTTATCGAGGAAATGCAACGCATCCAAGCAGATGGGTGCGCGTTCTTTGATGCGCACAGCGACACCTCCATCACAGTGGATCGCTTCTCTGAAGCCATAAATTAGTGAGCGTCGTAGTTGGTCATTGCATGGTGCGTAGCTCACGTGTCTCATCTTACCACTACGCCGCAGCTCAATGAATCGCGACTAGTGAGTTTGTCCGGCTGCCAGTAGAGCCGCGATCCTGATGGACTTCCCTATGCAAAGCTTGGGCAATCTGCTAGGCCTGAGCGATCTATCTGGGATGTCCGTATTTCAATCACTTGAGCGGGCGCTGCACAAGTTGGAGCAAGCACTGATCCGCAGGCGGCAACGCGAGGGGAAGCCAGCCATTATCATTATGAACAATTGCCAGCTGCTGCCGAGAGAAGAAGAAGGATTCAAGCTACTGCATCTATTTCAGCAAAGAGCCGAGCGTGGGTCCAAGTATACCATTTGAGCTCGCTCAGGATTGCCATTGACTTTACCTCTTTAGGGTGGGCCGCCAATGGCACTGCAACTTTTGTCTTTATCTCGGACGACTATTTCGTCTTCGATGCGCTGCGCAAAGCATCGGTCCGTATGGATACGCTCACATTCAGAGATCTGACCCGCGCGCAATCTCTGGATGTATTGCGCAAGCTACGCCAACAGTACTGGGGCGACGGGCGCGATATCCCGACTTCGACACTAGATTCAGTATACCGTGTTGCCGGCGGGAGGATAGCGCTGCTCAACAACCTTGCACGCCGGAAGGACATTACGGCAGCAGCCGAGCAGCTTGTCGAGGATGACACGCAGTGGCTATTGTCAAAGACTGGAATAATTGAGGATCATGACGATGACGTGGGTGGTCGCAAAGCATTGATTTCGTGTTTTCGGCTCGTTAAGCTCTAAATCATTGTCTCCTTACAGGTAATGGATGAACAAAGTATGTGAGGCCTTTTGAGAACTGCTTCATCCTCCCGCAATGCTGACTCAGCTAGCAACGTGCAGAATGGTCCACTTGCTCCTGGCTGCTTTTCACAGAGTTAGCCAAAAGGCAGGCTGCGCTCGAAGATGCTCTTGCTTCAAGAAGCCGGGGTTCAGAGACGACTCCGCCGAGAGTCGATGATATGGTAAACATCCGTGATGTTACTGATCCCTCGCGAGATCTGGAATGCGATATCAATGGGGAGGACTGTCCCAATCCGCACATCACGTGGGGCGAAGTGCGCCAAGTCATGACGCGTCCAGAGTGAGTTCCCTAGGTTTTGCGACCCTTTAATGATTTCTGACATTTGCATGGTCCTCTAGTTTTGTATTGGACCTCGATCATCTTAACGTAAGCATTCCGCAGACTTCAGGCAGGACCATAAGGCACTGGCTCACAAGCTTATCGCCATACTTCCTAGATCATTCACATCGACCGGCACCATCGTATCCGGGCAGACAGCATGCCTCTCTTGCGAGCATTCCGCAATGTTATTGACCAAGATGGCTTCGCCGAGAAGCTTGAAAGTGTTATGGATCGCGTGTCGGCGATTGAAAGCTTAGGCCGTACAAGAGAAGTGAGTCTGACAACGACGATGGCCAAGTGATGCCCTGTGGTCTGACCAGAACTGCGTTTCAGCTTGTTTGGAAGGAGCAAGGACCCGAAGGCCGGTTTCTGATACGCAGGAACGGCAGAGGCCAAGAGGTTGAGAGCTGGACTCTCCTCGGCGGCGACGAACGGCTTGGGCGGGAGGCGAAAGAGACCGAGGATGCGTAGAAATGAACAAAAAGTCATTTGTGTTCTTCTCTTATTGTCGGCAAACGCTCAGTTCACGTTGTTCAAGCGAAAAAAGTCATATGGAAAGAGCTACAATACCGAATGAACACCTTGCGTTTGTGCGCGTTGGAGACGTGAACGGTATCACAGCCATCTCTGCCAGAATCTGGCCTTGCGTATCGAGATCCTTGGTCAGACAGTCGGCAATGATGGTGATGCGCGTGATTGTCGACGGAGTGAGTCCGCCCCAAAGTACTACATGAAGAAGTGGTCCCGTAAGTTCAGACACTTGACTTTTGTCCCCAACATGCTGATCTCCGTCACTACTGCAAACACTGAAGAGCCCGTTTTGATGATGACAAGCACGCCACTTCGTGCAGAATCCTGAATTCGATGAGGGTACTATACTACAGAGCTAGAGAAGTTTATCGATACCATGTTTCAATACCACTTACTCAGTTGCGCCCGTCACGTCTGTGGCTTCGCGTTACTATTTACTGCGCGAGAATACTCGATTTCCGTAGGCCAGCATGAAGATGCCCGAAACAATGTCATACTCCTGATCAACGTCGTGATCGACGGCGACGGCTCGAATGGATTGGGCGACCAGCAAGTGTTCCATCTAACAACATATAATTACTTAGGCTTCGAAGCACTATGGCACCAAAGTCGCAGCTGCATGATGCTTAGTGCCCAGTGTTTCAGCAAAGTGTCAGCTAGGAATCATGGCACCGGCATCGCGACCGCGATCGGGAAAGTGGCCGATATGCAAAAAGCTTGGTCTCATATTAGACTGCTGGCTGTCCACTCCCTTCTTGGGGACTGCACGTTCAACTAATGAATGCCGTTCTTCACCTTGGTGATTTCTAGCGCCATCTCCTTTTTCTTTGGAGACCAACCTAACATTGGGATATAGATTTTTACAGCCTCTACAGCTGCAGCCCAGCATTCCCTCCTGAGCCCATGGCAGAAAGTGGGGCGACAGGCCATCAGTCTGTTATTAAATATTTGACTCTCGTCACAATAAAGCGTGAATGAAATCAATACTGTGTTGAAGCTTGGGCAAGGTCAACTCGTTGCCGCTCGTATGCCAGACTCGGATGGGTAGCTATAGGAACGGCGCTTACCAGGCTCGTGGAAGAGGAAGGAAGTTTCTTCTACTCATTACAGTTGTTGCCTATTCATGTTCAAGAATCGAAAGGCAAATTACAAAGAGAAGTGAGATGCTGGCTTCTGGAATGTAAAAGAAACGAGAAACTGTGGGAGGTGACAAGGCGAACCGATAGATATGGCTTGATGCGGTGGAAGGCGATGTTGGCACCAAAGGCAAAGTGATTGCTCACTCGTTGGTGATGATCGCACGAGTGCTCTTGGTTAAAACGAGACACTGAGCAGGGAGCTAAAGAATAGGCTAAGGTTCTGGCGCTGTATCTAAAATATCACAAGCTTGGGTAGTATTCAATTAACTGTGAACGCCTAAAAGCATGAATAAGAAACGCAGTACGAGTGGATGGAGTATATGGCAGGATTAATGGGGAAAATATGAAAGTCGCATCCAACAACGAAGCAAAATTACCCTCTAATGCATGCACAAGACTATCGGGACATCACGCGGCCACTTAGTTTCTTCAAATGCACAAGTGGCCCATAGAAACTAGGCAAGGCGTCCAGCACCATTTGTGCGTCATTTGATCAGCCCTCCTCAGATGACAGGGTAGCTTATTGGCCGATGAGGCCAATAAAGTATGGCAGCTGACGAGCCTGTGCCAGTGGCAAGCCCTTGGTGAGGAGGTCAACCGAGATGCCCAGTCCTTTGACTCTTTGGGTGAAAATGCTCCCTTTTGAGGCAGGAGCAGCGGCCGATCCGCGAGCCAAAGGAGTGAAGGATTGCAAAAGTAGCACAGCCTATAAAGCACTTTCGATGTTCATGGAAGGCTCAAGAGCAATGCACAAGCGACTGCAGCTGCACATGAAGCCAGCACTTTGTAGATATGTAAAGTGCTGCACGGAGTATCCGGAGTTTGTGCAGAGAACGATGGGAAGTCAGAACATCGTATTGTGGTCAAAATAAGGCATTCATTCAATAGCATACCCAGTGATTGTACGCATAGGCTACTGCTGTAGTTATCTCATCCAAAAGTGCCTGCTCTAGCTTCGATACGCCGCTCCATTTTCGGACCATATTGAAGAGTGTCCGATTGAGGCGTTCAGCACCCCTCTTCTGTTAGTGTGTAGATGCGGCTAACCTTTTGTGCCGGACGCCTTGTCGTTGGAGGAGTTGCTATGCCCCCATGATGTAGACGCTCTCTGTTCGAGTAGAAGATCTTAATCTCTTTGCTCGCCTCCTCTCTACTTGGCAGATCCAGTTATCAATGACGTCAGCAGCGTTCTTGCAACCTGCTAATTTGTAAAGTCAGGTCTTGCCCGACCTTCCATCTGTAAATGTCAGGAAGTAGAGCACGCCATTTACGCTCTCTATGGGCATAGGCCCAAGGATGTCCGCATGCACCCACTCAAGCACATGCTGTGTTCTGTTTTCATTCCTTGTGCTGGCATATGGAGATGGGGGAGCTTTTTGAAAGCGCACGCGTCATATATGATGCCCAGCCTCGGCGTCAGGTGTTCACTTCGCCTTAAAGGTTGTGTTGCGCGAGTTATGCTTGCATGTCCGTGGCGTAGGTTACATAGCTCGCTGTCTTCACCTGCGTGGCTATATAGTTCAACATGCTCTCTGTATTGCGTTCGTGGTTCCCTGCACGATAGGGAAAACTGAGATGCCGTCGTGGAGAACTCCCCCTTTTGGTTATACCGTTTCCACTTCCCAAAGGAGCGTCCGTCCTCCACGAGTTTGACTTCGCTGAGGACAATGAGATCTCACTGCATGTCTGGAACCTCAAGTGCCAGTCTTGCGATAGATGTCCACAGAGGTGCCATTGTTGCTCAGTGCTTACTGACTGCGTCGGCCGCGTAGCCTCCTCTCATACACACCTTGACCATCAGTGTCTGGGCCTTTGAAAGGCTGCGCATCAAAGTTGCCACCGCACCACTTATTGATGCTGACTATTGCCCAGATTGAGGTAGTACTTGCTGAAATCTTCCTCCTCGCTTCAAGTCACTCGAGTATTCGATTTGGCCTTGGGGTGATGGGCTCCAATCCTTATTGGAGCGAGATGTCCTATCTCTTCCAAGATAAGATGCTTTGATTCGCTCTGTTCTCTAGGCTACACGAACGGTGGACGCCATGTGCGGCTCTTTATATATCTATCTACAAGATGCCTGCTTTCATATACAGCCATTATAACCTGTTCCTTGCTCTCGAACCTTTCATGACGTTCGTTGGTAGTCTTTGAGCTGTGCTGCTTCGATATGATTTGTTTCGTTAGCTCGCGGGTCTGTATTTCCGCTGCTCTGGCACCAAAGGTCGTCCTATATATGCCCTCACGTTCGCAGTCGCAAATTGGGCTAAGGATGGTGTAGCCTATCGGAAATGTCACGAAAGAGTTTGCGGAAGTATGTGTCAACCCTGAGCCAATCGGCACTAGTATCGGACTTCCGTTTTAGGTCCAAAAACCTTGATCATTTGTTTAGTATGCTTTGGGTGTCATATATATGGAGCAGTTCGCATAGGCAATATAGTTGCAAGAAGTGGGGTGGAAAATATAGACAGCGGGATTGATAAATATTGAAAACCCACGCTGCCCAAGTATATAGGGATTTGTTCCCTGGCATACCCATAGAGTCCTGCACTCCTAAACAGCAAGAGAACATCAAATGCAGAGCCCCTCTGCATATACTTGGGCACGGTTCTTTAGCTCCACTGTGACGCTGACGATGCCAATGTAGGGGCTGTATCACTTATGCTGTCGCACCCATGGGCACCGAACTGCGCGAAAGGGTTATGGAATACCTGACACTAAGATGGAGCGGTCTAAGTTGTCACGTTCCTTGCGTTCCTCAATGCCCCGTTTTCGCATAGCGTGATGCCCTAGAGTGCCTGGAGCCAGCAGCCAGTAATTTGTGTTAGCCTAAGTCTGTGGACCCTTTCTGCCTTGCAGCTGTTAACACTCTGCTGCAGAAGACTGCTTGTCCGCAGCCGTTTCGCAGAAGCAACGCGTCTAGCCTCGTTGGACGGACTGAGACAACAAAGCCAAATGGTAGCGACTCAGCACAATTACTTGGCCCAATGACTTTCCAGAGTCCTCATTCGATAGCCAAGCCTCGAAAACTTGTAGCAGCTTTATACAATCATATAAACTGCTTGCGCGTCTCACCCATCTATACTATATACAGCTTGACTTCTGCACATCCCATTTTAGCCCTAGCCCGCAGATATCACTATCACTAATTTATTATTTCTAGGCTGTCTGGCGAGGGTAAAGCCAGGTTATCGTGGAGCTACTTCTGGCGGAAGGTTGAGTACATAAACTATACATCGAAAGCGAAGCAACTGCCGAGCATCAGTTTGAGTGTGTTAGCCAAAGGACTACAAGCCCATGGACTATCTGACTCTATCGCAGATATTCTTATCTTCGGGCGGCCC